AGTTCGTCCCAAAAATGCATTGAACAAATTTTAGAATTTAGTTGGTAAATACACCAAATTGAGCAGTTCGCTGGAAAAAAAGTTGCTACGAGCCATTGATAAGGTATTCAAGCATGAGTTTGGAAAAAATCAGCACGGAACAAATGATTAACTTACAAATGCGTCCGATGAACCTTGCATAGCGTTTGTAATCTCAATTAATTCCACTTCTTCAGATGGAGTGAGCTTTCTGATGAATCTCTTATCTCGATACAGTTCATCTTGCTGCAAATGAAAACAACAATCGGTATTTTGATGTTTTCGGAAGCACTCAAACTTCCACTGCCAATGAATCGGAACCATTGCATTGTAAACCACTGCTCAGACAGTCGTTCAATCGATACTGAGCTAATCTGGTTCGTGAGCTAATCTGGTTCAACTGGACTATTCAACACTGAATTCAACCAAAACATTAAACTGAATATCTTCGGAAAAGGCAACAACAGTGAAACGAACCAAGACAATGCAATTACTTCCAAATTTGGTCATTTTCGTTTCTGCTTCACCACAAAATGGTGGCGGTTTTATGCATCTGTTCGAAGCACCTTGTCTTTTCTGCAAAACCGAATGAGAATTATTAGTTGTCACTTGAATGAATTTAAAACACTTTAATCTATGGTCATGGTTGTCTATTCGCTGCAGTGTTCACACGCGAGACTACAGCCAATATGTGCTCTATCATTCAGAACATCCTTCATAATACTGATTAGCCGAATCTGCTCACGATTCGCTGTCAGTGTGGAAGTGAGCCGTGAATTTTGCTTCGTTTTCCTAAAAACACATCAAATGAATGGAAGCGACCTTTTGACACATTGCAACTCGTTGTTCGAACTTCTTTGCCACTGTCATATCGTATCCCTTGAGCTGCTTCCATGGTATACCATCCACATACACTTGATTCGCCTAAATTGTTAAATCCCAGAAGCCTAGAACGGGCAAAATGCAAAAATGAATAACCTACGAATGAGCAGCAGAGTACACTTCTGGAATACTCACTTTGATTTCGCATGGAAATGGCCCCTTCGATTGTTCAATTGAATATTGATGAGAATTTACGCCATCAATTATAAAGAACAGCCATCTAAAAATGATATTATTTTCTTGAATGCTGGAATTTTGTTTCATTTAGTTGAGTGAAACTATGGCTTGGTTAATTTCTGGAGTTGTTAGTGGAGATTCAACGACTGCGGACTCTTGATTGGAAAAATGATAGAGATGCAACAACTGCATAATCGGATAAAGAGGAGATTTAGATGCCCAACTTGAGAACTCACATAATTAAAACCAACAACATTGAGGCTTCCAACGTGAAAGAAATTGAAATTGTTAATCTGAAAAAGAGATCAAAATGCATTCAGCCATTTACTCGTATGTTAAATTAACGTTGATCCATGGCTCTGACTGTAACGGCAAATGCTCATTATATCAGCAACTGATAATTTTCAGTGGTAAGAAACATTTCGCTTCACGATCTAATTGCTCTTCAATGGTGATGCTTCATTTGCGTTCGAAAAGTTATTCAAGCATCAAATTGTCTCGATATTACTTCAGATTATCGTGGAATTTAAAAGTCAGATTCGTTCTGACCAATTCCGATTGATTAATTTTTGCGATGCATCAGAAATGAGTTCCACAAAGGTGTCAGCATGGATCGAATGAAAACCGTAATGGGACAAACTTAGAATTTGCTGACGGAAACTCAACAGATTGGAGCCGGAGGGTGTCATAAGGTCGACGATAAAATTCGGAAATGCATACCAACGAATGAAGTGTCAGAGTTGAGCGCACAGACCGTACTATCAAAAAACAATCGTACTGAGAAAGCACTTTAGTAACCGTCGGGAACATCATGTAAATTTTTAAAAATTCATGATTTCTAATCACTAATATGCAGTGACATAAAATTGCTGTCGCGTGAAATTCCATTTCTATATCGATCGCTCATTTAGAATTGGAAAGAGTCCCAATGAAAATGCATAAGCCAGACTGTAAGCCGAAAAAAATTCATTGCACTTATTAAACTAGTCGATATAACCATATCAGAACCATTTGTATACCTACAGTTAGATAAAACGAAGTCAAGCCAAGATCACCAATTATGTCCATCGGGTAGACGAGATTTCGATCTGTATGCAGTGCCTATATGCTCCAGTCAACATTGCGCATATAATCACATGGAACAAACAGAAACCACTCCAAAAACTTTCACTCATGAAAAGATACAATCACATGGGTCATTCCCCACATTCAGA